TATCCTGATGTCAAGATAAATGATGGAGGAAGTCCATTCTGAAGTTTTTTTAAAGAAAAAAAAATCTAGAGGAAAAAGAGCTACTACCTAAAGCAGGTGCAAAGGTCATCTGAAATAAAGGCAAATAGCCAAATGAATTGTAAGGCAGAGGGGAAAGCTGAATGCCTGGGATGGTTTTGCTAGAGAACAGCCTCCAAGAGCAGTAAGAAACAAACAGGAAAATAAGGCTGGAATAATGTGCCTAAGGAAAAAAAGTAAACAAATAGGTTTTCAAAAAGAAAGCTACCTGGAAAAAACTGAATTGAAAAAAGCAGGAAACAAATGAACAAAACAAACAAACCCTCTTCTGTTGGAGTGCTGGGGTGTTTGTGCAAATAAGCCTACACAAATTTTCTGTAAACATTGCATCAAAGAAATATTGAATTCTATCATCCGTTCTCTTCTCGGAGAGAAATGCCCTAAAGGACTCTAGATCTTGGCTATCTATATGGGTCAGAAAAGTACATTACAAAACTTCTCTATTTAAAAAAAACAAACAAATAAAAACAACAAAAAAGTCTGTTTTCAATTACTTTAGATATTTATGCGTTCTTCTCTGATGCAAGAGGGGTATCGACTTCAACTATCGCTTGAAAATACTTGTCTCTGTTGCTTCACGAAGACTTTTTCTTTTTTTTTTCTTCTTTTCCTAGGAGAGGGCTGGTTATATTCTGTCAGCCTTTTTTTTTTTTTTAAATAACTATATTTTTTGAATTAGCGATCACTCCAGAAGGAAGGAAAGAAAAGAAGAAAACGAAACAGAACTAAACCCAAGCAGAAAACAAAGACAACCCTCCCCCATTTTAAAAGCCGCCTGTCGGTGCAGCAGAAGGGCCCCGGTGCCGCCATCGGGCGGCATCGTCGCGGTGCCGCCATCGGGGGGCAGCACCGGCGCGGCGCCCGCCCCGTCGGGGGGGCGAGGGGCGTCCCGGGGCTTCCTCCCCCCCGGGAGCGCCGCGGCTGCGCCATCGCCGCCGGCGCGTTTGGGAGGCGGGGATGGGGGGCGGCCAACCTCAACAATACAAAAAACGCTCGCACACAAAAGCCGAACCAAAATAAAACCCGCACCAACAAAAATAGATGTTCCAGGAAAAAAGCCCTGATGATTGCGACGCGCTGACGCATCTCAGCCCCCAGTGCGTAATTTTTCGCAGCGGAGGGGCGGGAGCGGGGCAGGAGCTGGTCCACACCCCCCGCACGCCCCCCCAGCCCTCCGCCCTGGCTCGCTCCTGGGAGCTTTACCAAAGGCGGCGATTTCCGCGGCAAACAGGCGGCAGCGAAGGCGTGGAGCCCCCGCGACGGACTGCGGGAGGGGCCGGGGAGCTGCCCCGGGGACCCCAAACCGGCAGCCCGGAGCATCGGCCGGCCTGGGGACACGCTGCTGCAGACCTGTTCCCAAACTGGCCTTTTTCTGCGTTCACCTGCCACAGGAGGAACTCTCCCTGTTCAGACCACGGGAACTTTGCTCAGGGTTTTCTCCAAAATACCGCCAGTGTATCGGCCTGCCTGTGGGCTGCGGGGTTCTGAACCTGCCGCTTGAGAGACGAATTTTGAGGAAGAAATGATCCAAATGCAGAAAAAATCTTGGTCAAAAACGCTTAATCAAAAAATAATGAACTGGAAATAAGTCATGCTTCAGATTTTCCTGTATACCCTTCCCATATAAGAATGTACAAGCTAATGACATCAACATTATTTCAGAATATATTTCAAATAATTAATAAAAGTAGTAGTAGCTTCAAGAATTACTGAATATGCCCAAAGTTGCATAACCGTAACTCCTATTTATTTAACCTGTAATTCTCTGGAAATCTTTGGGTGTGATACTCACCTTTACTTAAGAAAGAAGTATTTTTAGAATTTATGCTTTCTGAATATCTTTTTCTCATGTACAAAGCCAGCCATAATTGTTTACTCAGACTTGGGGGGGGGGAGGATAAAAATTGGCAGCCCCAATTTAAGGGTAAGAGCAACTTAGTGTTACTCTTGCTATAGAGGAATAAAGCCAGATGTTAGGAGTTACTAAATAAGTAGTATCAACAAAGTATTTTGTAAAACTATCTGGAAAGATGGTCTGTACTTCTTTCCAAATAACACAGACTTCTCTACTGGGCAGTCATGGTACATTACCACTCAAAGGAGTTGAGAAAGGGTAGTGAGAAAGAAGTTGATGGGAGTTCATGTCCTCTCATAGTAAGGTTATGAAATATATAACCAGAATGACACTGTATCAGAAGTATGCAAATAAATGTACCAGGGAATAAACTGACTTCACCTGTTTATGTAGAAGTTCAAGGACATCAAAATATAAATCACTCTGTTTTGTTGGAACAGATAACTGTACTCTTGATAGTATAAGAAAGTGTTGCTGACGCACGTAATCTTTCTCTGCACTTTTTTCCCATGGCTTCACTACCATCAGCTCTATGATCCTGGCAACAGGTAGAAAGCAACAGCCAAGCCAAACATCAAACACATCCCTTTCAACTCTTACTTCTTATCCTGAAACTGAAAGATATTTAAAAATGAGATTTAGACTAAGAACAAACAAAAACATATATTTAAAGGATGTCACAAATTTTGAAATTCAACCTACTCATGCATCCAGTCTCTCAGAAAGTGTTTTTTGAGTAACTGGCTGTGTCTTTGGGCAGTATTTAAATATAGTTACATATTCATAGGGCCTCGTGCTTCAATCCCCCCCAGTGTAGGGGGTTGTGTGTGTGGAACAAACAACAAAAAAACCCCCAGCTGGATCCTGTGTGTTAGGCTTGTAGAATTAAGCTTCCACATGTAACTAAAACCAGTTGCATGCCCCTAGAAGTAGTAAACTCAATCATTTAACTATTATTCAAACAGCTTTCCCAACCAAAATTCACTAATGGCTTGAGAAGTTCATGGCTTGAAAAACAGTGTTGCAGGCCACTGTTTAGCATCCATCCACACAGTTCAGTAAGGAAAACAGGAAGTTTAAATATATTTATACATAAATGCATAAATGTCATTATCATACTTTTTTTTGTTTTAATATAGCCAAGGAACCTTGAGTGCTTTGGGAAATGTGCAATCAGTAGGGCTCTGTGCTGGCAAAACTGTATTTGCTGTATCTAAACTTCATTGTCAAAAGCAAGGTCAATAATTTTCTAGGCATGTCTCTGCCAGTTTAGGGTGGACAGAAGTAACATTTTATGACTGACATACATGATGCCCCTCACTTAGGTAGTATATTTTGATAAATCTGACCCTTGCCCAGCATAGTTTATTTTTCTTGGAGGAAAAAGTAGATGGCTGAAGCATGGTATGCTGGCAAAGGCATAGTTTAGGAGGCAGGAAAGTTGCTATTATTACCACTATTTGGTTGGTCTACTTTGTGTATTAGCAAAGTATTCCCAGCCGAGACCTCAAACTGGTAAATGTAGTGAAATAGAGATGGGGAAGGGTGGTATGACAAAAGAAAAGGAATGGGATGGTAAAACAAGATCATTTTTTCTTTCATCGTGATGGAATTATTCTACAGAGCAATTTAAGCAAACATCCTCTGGCAGAACTGTTGCAGTTACTGAAGATGCTGCTGCCTCTATCTGTTCACCCCTGTGTTCTGCCTGAAGTTCCTTGGTGGAACAAGGATGCATGTGTTATGCTCAACCATCCCAATTCACAGCCCTCTGTATCTCTGAAAAACCACTTATTCCAGAAAAATAAAGCTAACATGCTACACAACAGATAGGAACAGCTGAATCATAAGACATGGGAGCTGTAGAACCTCTCACCTGTAGCTGAGAGCAGGGATGGACGACTGGTGTTAGTGCATTTATTGTAATTAAATGCCCCTGTAATTACACTGAAATGACTGGGAAAATTTTTCAGAAGGGATATAGTGTTGAAGAGCATTTCAGAGGAGTTCTGAGAAAACTCTGAGTAAGACAGGTCACCTATGTAAACTGGGGTCATTCATTCCAGAGTGCTGGTCATGAAACAATAGGACTTTTTAACCTGAATTTCACATACACCTGAGTTGCACTTCTTGTGTTCTGTACCCCAGTTATGCATTAAAAACCAAACTCCAAACATAATTATGGCATAAATAATACTTGTTATGAATTGACCACTGCTAAAAATGAGCTACTAAAGATGCTCCTATATCAATGCCAATACAGAAATAAAAAGTATAAACTGCAACCTTGGATTCTAGTCTATCCTAATCCCTTTGTTACAGAAATTGTTTGCAAACCTGGTTCTGCTGCTATAGCCAGTATATCAAATGTGTATTGCCCACATGGTCAAGAATAAATATATAAAAATATCACGTAGGTGAATTAATATTAGTCTTTTTTTTTTTACATTTCAGACCTAAGGATGTGTACTCAAGGTCACCAATCATATTTCATAAACGTCTGGAAAAATCTTTCCAAATTCCCAAGGCGTTTACAGACAAAAGTTTGTGTTTATGGACCCAGATCGCTCAGAGTGGCAAGAAATTGTTCAGATACCTAATTTCCTTATATCTTCAGTAGTATGAGTACAGGGGATAGTCTGGACCGCTACAGCCACAGCCAGAAAATCAACTATTCCCGAGTTTTCATATGAAACTGTCCTCATTGAGATGTTATGCAATCATTACATATAATATAAATTTGCAATTACTATTTCTATGCATTTGTCCAGATGCAGAAATCAAAGAACATTACCAGGACAGTAAAGACTGTCAACATCATTTTGTGTGAAGAGTCATACAGGTACACAGAGGTCACAGGTACCTTGCCCAAGGTTACACTCTTTTCTTGCTCCTGCGGAGAGGTCAGTGCCTCAGATCTCAAATTACATCTCTAACTCCGCCCCCATCCTCTTTAAAAAAAAAAAAAAATTAATAAACCCAGGTAACTACTATCTTGTATGTAAATGTTTTCCCGTAAGACGAAGGGAGAGGTCTATCTTCAAAAGCTATCTTCAAAAGCTGCTTTATTGCGACGTACCGGTATTTACAGTGAGGTGGTCTTTTCCAAACACACTTCCTCTCCTCCCCCCCCCCCAGTTACAGCTGTTGATTTCTAAATGGATTATTATGACCCAAACCGCGGAGAATTTCGGGCAGGAGGGAGCAGAGCGGCGGCAGCGGTGCGGGCTGCGGTCGGCCCCGCCGCCTGCTCCGCCGGGAATATGGAGAGCGCTCGGCCGCAGCCCCGCACAACGGCAGCGGCAGGCGCCGCATTGCTTTCGTATTTTTTAACCTTGTTTGCTTGTTTGTGTTGTTTGTTTTTTCCCTCGGCTTTACACGCAAAACCGGTTGCTACAGGTTCGTCGCAGAACGACGAATGAAAGCGTGTCCTGGCGGCACTGAGAGGGTAGACGGGAAGGCGCGGATGGATGTTCGCGTGACCCCAGACTCGGTTTTCCTCCTGGGCATGTGCAAAGGGAGGCTTCCCCCGCCGTTCCCGAGGCGGGCGGGGAGGCGGCTGCGTTAGGAACAGGGTGGACGGTTTCAGTACAGCCTCTTCTCTCCATCCCCCGACTTTTGCTATCGCTGCCCTCCTCGCATCACGCTGCGCGCTTCGTGAGGCGCCGCGACCGCCCTCACCGTGGGGCGACAGGCCGGCATCCCCGCTCGCAGCCCCCTCCCGGGCCCCTGCGCTCCCCCTTCCTTCCCCCGCTCCCACCGCACACGGGAAAATGCGGGCTAGGGAGACCCCTGCCCCTGATGCCGCCCACCCCGGCCGGGGCCCCTCCGCCGTTCACCTCCCCCTGGCAGCGGGGAGAGAAAGGCTCCCATTGATCCCGGGGCGCGGCCCGCCTGGTGACGAGCGTGCGGGTCCCCGGTAAACAAGCGAGACGCCTCCGCCCCCTGCGGAGTCCCCGCACGCCTGGTGAAGGCGCGGGAGCGGCGGCAGCGGGGGGAAGCGGGGGGAGCGGGGAAGAAGGGGAAGCAGGGAGGCGGGGGGACCGGGGGCCGCTTAGCCCCCGCCGCCGCTCGCTCCGTGATCGCCGCGCCGCGCTCCTCCAGCGGGGCCGGATTCGTTTCCAGAGGAAACGCGGACGTTGCCCTTATTCAGCGCTACGGCGAAACGCCCGGATAAATTAATGTGTTTAATTGAAACCGACTGAACAGCGGCACACACTCCCCGCGCCCTCCCTGGGTGGCATCTCCCCGCCGCACGGGGCGGGAGCGGCGGGTCCCCGCGGGGAGCGGTGCGGGGAGCGGGGGGCGCGTGGGCACGGGTGACACAGCGCGCGGGGGAGCGCGCGCACGGAGCGGCCGTGCGTGTGCGGGGCGGGTGACGCACACACGCGTGTATGCGGGGGTGGGGCTGGGTGGGTGTGCAGGGGGCGCCCACCGCGCACACGCGCGCCCGGAAGCTCCGGCGGGCGGGTCCGCAGCACCTGACGGCTGCGGTGAGCCACGCCGGCACCCCGCCGCGTACCGATGGGCGGCGATGGGCATCACCCGGGCTTTGCCGGGTGTACCGGATGCCCCCGCAGTGCCCGCGCCCCCGGCACGTTCCCCGCTATGTGCGCGGAGGGCACCGGCGGGAGGGGCGCAGGAGGAGGGACCCGCTGGCTCGGGGAGGGCCAGGGCGTGGGCGAGAGCGCGGGGGGGCGGGCAGAGAGTGGGAGGCGAGGCAGCCACCGGCCAATGACGTATCGCCGTCCCGCACCCGAGAGCCCGCCCTGCAGTCCCATTGGCGGGCGGAGCCGTCCATCTTGCGGCGCGGCGGCCAATGCGGGGCGGTGCCGGCGGCGCCGTTGCCCCGCCCCGTCTCGGTGTGTGAGCGCTCGGTGAGGCGGCGGTCACGTGTTGTTTTGCTCTTTAGTTGGGGCACTCGGAGCGCGATGTGTTACTTACGGCGAAACTCCCGCCAGCGCCGGCAGCACCAGCGGGAGCAGCGGCGGACCGGGAGCGGCATCGGCGCCGCCGGTACCCGAGCCGGGGAGGACGCCGGGCGGCCGCCGGCAGCACCCGCTGCCTAGAGGCGACAGCGGAGGACCCCGCTGCGGCTCCGAGCAGCCGCGTTCTTCTACAGAGGAATAACTTTATTTTACCTGCTTCTCTCAATTCTTCCTTTATTTTTTCTTTTTCTTCTTTTTTTTTCGCCGCGGCACTCGGTTCTCGTTTCCGCTCCGCGTCGGCGGCAGCAGCGAGAGGAGCCGGGCGGTGCTCCCGCCGCAGGGCTGGGGATGGCGAGCCCCGCCGTGCTGGGGCTGCTGCCCCCCCTGAGCTCCCCGCCCGGCCCCAACCTGAACAACAACAACAACAACAACCAGGGCGTGAGGAAGTGCGGGTACCTGCGCAAGCAGAAGCACGGCCACAAGCGCTTCTTCGTGCTGCGCGGCCCGGGCGGCGGCGGGGAGGAGGCGGGGGGTGCCCGGCTGGAGTACTACGAGAGCGAGAAGAAATGGAGGAACAAGTCCGGGGCGCCCAAGCGGGTGATCGCCCTGGACTCCTGCCTCAACATCAACAAGCGGGCGGACGCCAAGCACAAGTACCTCATCGCCCTCTACACCAAGGACGAGTACTTCGCCGTGGCTGCCGAGAACGAGCAGGAGCAGGAGGGCTGGTACCGGGCTCTCACCGATCTGCTCAATGAGGGCAAGGCGGCCTGCCAGGGGTCCCCCCACCGCCACCTCGCCTCCCCCTTCTCCGCCTCCTGCGGCGCGGCCGCCGCCTCCCTGGCCGCCGCCGGTGAAGACCTCAACTACGGGCTGATCGCGCCGGCCACTGCTGCCTACCGGGAGGTCTGGCAGGTGACGCTGAAGCCCAAGGGCTTGGGGCAGAGTAAAAACCTCACCGGTGTCCACCGGCTCTGCCTCTCTGCCCGCACCATTGGGTTCGTGCGTCTCAACTGCGAGCAGCCCTCGGTCACGCTGCAGCTGATGAACATCCGCCGCTGTGGCCACTCCGACAGCTTCTTCTTCATCGAGGTGGGGCGCTCGGCCGCCACCGGCCCCGGCGAGCTCTGGATGCAGGCGGACGACTCGGTGGTGGCCCAGAACATCCACGAGACCATCCTCGAGGCCATGAAGGCGCTGAAGGAGCTGTCCGAGTTCCGGCCTCGAAGCAAGAGCCAGTCGTCCTCCTCCTCTTCCTCCGGGGGGGCCGGCGGGCCCGGCGGCAGCGGCGCCTCCGCCACTCACCCCATCACCGTGCCCGGTCGCCGGCACCACCACCTGGTCAACCTGCCTCCCAGCCAGACCGGCCTCCTCCGCCGCTCTCGCACCGACAGCCTCGCCGCCGGCGCCGGCACCAAGTGCACGCCGTGCCGGGTGAGGACGGCCAGCGAGGGTGACGGCTGCCGGGTGGGCTCGGCGGCCGGCAGCCCCATGAGCCCGGGCCCCGTGCGGACCCCCCTGAGCCGCTCGCACACGCTAAGCAGCGGTGGAGGCCGGCAGGCGGGGAAGCTGCTGCCGGTGCTGGCCGGCGGCGGGCTGCAGAGCAGCCGCTCCATGTCCATGCCCGCCTCCCACTCGCCCCCCTCTGCCACCAGCCCCATCAGCCTCTCTTCCAGCAGCGGCCTCGGCTCCGACACTGCCCATCCGCATCACCCTCAGCGCCCGTCCAGCGGCAGCGCCTCCGTCTCCGGCTCCCCCAGCGACGCCGGCTTCATGTCCTTCGACGAGTACGGCTCCAGCCCGGGCGGCGACCTGCGGCCCTTCTCTTCCTCCTCCACCGCCAGCAACCGCAGCAACACTCCCGAGTCGATGGCCGATACCCCCCCGGTCCGGGACCCGGGGGGCGGCACCGATCTCTACGGCTACATGGCGATGGAGCGTCCCCCGAGCGGCCGACTCTGCTACCGGCCCTGCCCCGACGCCGCCGGCGACAGGTGCCATCGAAAGCGGACCTATTCCCTGACCACGCCGTGCCGGCAGCGACCCGCCCCACCTCAGGTCTCCTCCGCCTCCCTCGACGAGTACACGCTGATGCGCGCCACTTTCGCCGGCAGCGCCGGCCGCCTCTTCCCCTCCTGCCAAGCCGGGGCTTCCCCCAAAGTGACCTACACCCCATACCCCGAGGACTACGGGGACATCGAGATCGGCTCCCACCGCAGCTCCGGCAGCAGCAGCACCAATTTGGGGCCGCCGGCAGCGGGTGGTGGGGGGGGAGATGATGACGGCTACATGCCCATGACCCCTGGTGTGGCCGCAGCCTTAGGGCAGGGAAACCGGGGTGGCGATGATTACATGCCCATGAGCCCCACCAGTGTGTCTGCCCCCAAGCAGATCCTGCAGTCCCGGACAGGGGTGGGGAGTGGGTCCCCCGGGAACGGGAGCAGCTACAAGACCAGCTCACCTGGGGAAAGCTCCCCTGATGATAGTGGGTACATGCGGATGTGGTGTGGCTCCAAGCTATCTGTGGAGAGCTCAGATGGAAGACTGAGTAACGGAGACTATATCAATATGTCCCCTCGGGACCCCCAGCATGGGCCCCAGGTTCCCTCCCTTACTCCCCCCGACTTCTTTTTTGCCCCATCAGGGCATGGGTCCAGTGAGCCCTTAAAGCCCGGCTGCTATTCATACAGTTCCTTACCCCGCTCCTATAAGAGCCAGGGATTGGCGAAGGACAGCGACCAGTATGTCTTCATGAACTCCCCGGGGAGGATGATCCCGGAGGAGGTGGTGTGTGGAGTGGGCCAGTCGCCTGCTGGCACCTTCACCCCCTCCAGCCACATGGTGCCTTCACCCCTGCGGCACAGCCGGACTGAGAGCTTCCTGAGCCAGCGGTGCCAGCGGGCAGCCCGGCCCAGCCGCCTCTCGTTGGAGACCTTGCGGACGGTGCTACCCAGCATGAATGAGCACCCTCTGCCGCCTGAGCCCAAGAGCCCTGGTGAATACATCAACATTGATTTTGGGGATGCTGCTGTCTATTCTCCCCCCTCGCTGCCTGCTGACAGCCCGGCCTCCTCCCTGGGCTCAGGCACAGGGCAGAGGCGCTCCCCGCTTTCTGACTACATGAACATGGATTTTGGGTCACAGTCACCCTCCCAGTCAGGCACGGTCTCAGTGGGCTCCTTGGAAGCTCTCTCACCGAGCTCTTCTTCCAGCACCAGCCAGCCCAATGGGCGCTACCTGAAGGCGGCTGTGGGGGTGGCTTGTTCATCCAGCCCGTCAGATGGTGGGGATTACACTGAAATGACCTTTGGCATGGCCACCACCCCACCCCAACCCATTGTTCAGAAGCCAGAAAGTGCCCGGGTCACAAGCCCCACAGCTGGGGTGAAGAGGCTCACCCTCTCTGGAGTGGAGGCTTTCATTCTCTCAAGCCCTCCCCCAGACCCAAACCGGGGGGCCAAAGTCATCCGGGCAGATCCTCAGGGGCGGAGGAGGCACAGCTCAGAAACTTTTTCCTCCACCACCACTGTGACCCCAGTGTCCCCTTCCTTCGCACACAACCCCAAACGACACAACTCAGCCTCAGTGGAGAATGTGTCCCTCAGGAAAAGCGAAGGCCTGGAGGAGGAGCAGGGTAGCAGTCCCATGTGCCGCGAGACCTCAGCTGGCTTCCAGAATGGCCTCAACTACATTGCCATTGATGTAGTGGATGGGTCCCTGGCAAACTGTGACAAATCCAGGTTGAAAGCCAGGCACCTCCTGAACGGGGGCATCAATGGAGTAGAGATGAGCGCCTATGCCAGCATAGACTTTCTGTCTCACAACCTGAAAGAAGCAAGTGCTGTGAAAGGTGAGTAGCTATGTCTGACAGTGCTTGCTATGTGTGTTTGTGCCTACTGTTTGCCATCACAGTGTTGTGTGTTTGTTGTGTAGAGCTCCTTACTTCCTTAGAAATCACTCTTATCCCCCTTTTACACATCCTGTAATAAGCAGTTTTGGAGGAATTTGGTGGCTCTTTGTATGAGAAAAAAGGTTTAATTTTGTGATATTTGTTCATGTTTCGGTTCTACTGTGCTAATGAGTGTATACTTCTGGGTATCCCAATAGAAGCTGATGTTTACACAGTTACTATGTTTGGGCTGTCTTTCAGTTTTCTTACATAAAATTTTGGAAAGTGTTTGGAAAATGTGACCAAAATAGTTCATGTTAATGCAGCTTCTGAATATTACTTAAAAATGTAAAATGATTGACTTAAAAACAGGATTGTCTGACTGAGGACATCAGATTACAAAAACAATCCTTGGCTCTCTAGGTGAGAATGTCTGTAATATCAAAATGAGAAAGATAAATTTAATACCATGGTTTTGAAATACCTTCTCTCTTGCAAAAGTTTAACAATAAATCATAGTAAGCATGGAATGTAAATTTAAAAAAATGTAATAATTCTTTCCAGAAGTCACTATATGCTTGAGCTGTTACACGTTGTATCACACATTTCACTTAAGGGCCCACCCTGACAGCTCAGTCCCAGCATGGATGACCAGTTGGTTGGCTTGCTTCTGTATGGGTTGTAAATGTTTGGTGCTCAAAGATAAAAGCCAATTGAAGAACTCT